ATATGTTACTGTTTACTTTTTATATTAAGTTTTTTCCATTCAAGTATTGTATTCCATACTTAAAGCCTACGCTGTATAACTTATAGATTTTTTATTATTTGTCTTAGTTTTATCAAGTCAGTATAGGACAAAGATGGATATTTATTTTCTTTTTTTTATTCTAGATTACTATATAGACACTGCTCCTCCTCTAAAACTATACAATGTCGGAATTTAGCAAAAAAAAAAAAAAAAACTTTAAATCAAATTCTGACAAATGAAGGAAGAAAAGAGCCAAAACCCTCCCGTAGATTTATATGAACCAAGATAAATAGGTTAAAAGCTTCTCATGCTCACAGTTAAGTGTGGTGGAGGAACTGTTTTGCCGTAGTCTTGTCCATTTTTCGAATTGGCTTGCTAACTAACAGTGGATTTTAAAATAAAACAAAACACCAGAAAAAACAAATGCTTTTCCAAAAAACTAATAACCAAGTGATTTACTTATGCCAATAAATGAAGCTGAATTAATATATCTATATTGTAAATAAAAATTGATATCTCAAATATGAGACTAACAAACTAAATCCTTATCTTTTATACATGTTATTCTGCCACATTCTGCACAATCAGGTTACTGCCCTGTGAATGTTTCAGCAGCAATTGTTGGTAATTATCACAATAATCTTGGCTGACTATGCTTGCTCTCCATCACCCTCCTCTGCAGGCCAGATGCAGGGAAGTTGATTCAACGACGGGGTTAATATCCACTGGGACAGAGTTACTGGTCAAATGACTTCCTCCTGGTTTGATAGAAGTAATTATTTCCTCTAAGCCCCTCCCTGTTTAACTCCCTTTCCCTCAATGGAGATTAAATCCAAAAACCTCAGCTCATCAAAAACGCTTTTATTCTTTAGGCAATGTCTTTAAAAGCTTTAAGTAAATTCATGTTGAAAAAGGGTAAGAAGGAGACAAGGGAGGGATAGCACCAATCAACAGCTCAATGAATGTTAGCCTCCTTACTCCTGCCACCTCCCATCCACTCCCAAAGGGGAGCCGAGGGGGGGAACATGTCTCTTCCTGTCTCAAGACACTGGAGGGAGGTGACAGAGACTGGCGCCGTGTGCGTTCACACAAACACACAAACTATCAGGGGGGGATTTTCAATGTTTTGCTTTCTGGTTTCCTTTTTTCGTTCATTTTTTTTCCTGCAAACACATCAGCAAAACATAAATGTAACCAACGTATCCAAGTACTTATTGGAAGTGCTCCTAGTACCGCGTGCCAATCCACTAACCTAATTCCAATGTAATTTACTTTAAATAAAGCCCCACAATAACGTTTTTTTTTTAATAAATGGTCATAAAAAAACTGAGCTTCCAGCAGCTCCTACGAACCTAAGTGCTTGTCAGAGCATATCCAGTGTTACCAGCTTTCTCATCACGTCCTCTGTCTCTCTGTTCAGTTCGGTTTTATAATTCTCCAAAGTGTTGTTTGTTAGAGTGCGGAAATGTCAATGAGAGGTTCTAAATTAAAAAATGTATTTCATCCTGACATGCCTTGATAAAATGACAAATAAGTCCTAATATCTGCTGTTTTTTCTCAACACAACCCAGTGCTTTGTATGGTTATTGCAAGTGTGTGGGCATGGTAATCTTTCCCTTACATACAGGTGCAATAAATATTAAACACTCTTTCTCTGAGCTTCTCAGCGTTGCAACAATATTACCTGATCTTCTGCCAGCATAATACTCAGTGGATATTATGACAATTAATACAAGTACATTATGAGATAATGCAGTTTATGTTCTGCAATTAAACCAAATGGATCAGAAAGGAAATAAGGGGAACAAATTTACTTAAAGGTATAGTGGAGGATGTTGTTTTTTGGATGGTTCATCAAAATAAGTGGTCCTCCTAATTGTCAAAGATACTTGTGATATTTTTACGCAAGGCCGTCATACGTGCTTGTCCCCATTTTCACTTACCGGTGGCGAGTCTGACATAGTGGAGAAATTGCAAATCTTCTTTTTGAAAGTAAGCTTGTATTAGCGATGCAAACAGCAACTTTTAAACAGCGTGCACCAGGATAAATATGCTCGTGCACGCTCTCGCACACGTTGAATAGGCGTTTCCTCTCTGGAGAGGGTACAGGGTTGTGCATATCCATGTGAGAGGGCGGATCTTCCTCCACTATACCTTTAAATGAGCATTGTGCAAATTCAAAGATACATGCTCTTACCTTGCCTGACAAGTTGAAGGAGTTTGCCTCTATCTACTACAGTTGCCCTTTATAGGCTCCTATAGTTAGTTCATGAGAGTGATTCAAGTCGTATTCTCTGGGTGTGTGTATGTCACATTGCACGCTCTCGTTAACGAAGCTTTATCGTGAATGCCATTGGAGCATTAGCGAGAGAAAACAGGCTACACAGCTTTGCAAACTGTGTAATTCTTAATAGCCATGTTGAGTGTCTCTATTATTATTAATTGTTATTATTAACATTGCAACTATTTTTATATATATTTATACATTTTCTACCTCAGAAAACCTTTTCCTTTCAGAGGAAAAAGATGCATTGCAATGGCACACTGCAGTGCTTTTTCTCTTCTCCCATGCATTCGCATAATACTGGTTGCATTTCAACTTGTCACCAGAAGGTGGAAGATGTGCAAAATTCTGGAATTTAAAACTATGTTCCTTTAACCTACCATTTCAAATTAATAACAGGGCAATGCAGCATGAATTATATCACAGATGCTTAAAGAGATTTTGCATCTTCTATCTTATTTTAATTTTCAAAAGGATCAGATTAAATCTTTTTTTGCTGCCTATGCCAATTTGTCTAGCTGAATAATTAAAATGCATAAAAACTTACTGACACCGTTTATAAGCTTAGCAGCCATTAAAGCAGTTTCACTGTGTAAAACAAATGAAGATCATTACAGTCGTAATTTGAAAGCAACAAGGCATTCCCAAAGCTGAAGTCCTGTGTGTTTCCTTGAATGCGTAGATTATTTTCTAATCTGGCATAGATTGGAGGCTAATATTAATACAAACTCTTGTTTTCAGGTTAAAAAAAAACAAACATTCCAAAGTAGCATGAGTAGCGCTCGCCAAATAATAGGTAGAACAGCCTGACAGCCTGAAACTAGGGAAAGCAATACAAGCATAGAGATGCTTGGAAATAAACACAAAATAAATTTTTGATAAACTGCTATACATACATTTTAAAAACGGCTAAAAAGTAAGACTTAAAAGGACAAACTTTCTATGTTTGAATAGCACACTGAATGTGTTCTTCTTCACGTTGTTCAATAGGGTTTTATGAGCGGTGGCATTTACTGTTAAAAAAGGAAACCACAGCAAATGCTGTGTTAGTCAAGGAAGGGGTAAAATAGTCAAGGGAGGCAGACGTGGAAAATAAAAGGAATGATTTGTAAATTCATATATCACCGTTGATGTCAACAACTCTAAAGCCTCTATAGGCAGTCTTTTTATTCATTATCAAAATAGTAAATGCATTTTTGTCCTGCTTCCTGGTGTCTCCGGTGTCCACCAATAAGGTTCTCAATCTGTGTGTATTTATGGACTCAGGCCTGAAACCCTCAGAGGCATTAACCTTCAAAAACAGTAACAGACTCGACCTTTTACTTCCAAGATTGAAGCACAAATGTCTTGAAAAACTACTTCATATGATTATCTTTAGCAGAATAGATTATTGCAACAGTGCCGCAGTACACAATTACCTTGCAAGCAAGAGGAATTGACACGAGGTTTGTGAATTCACAAATTACATCTTACCAGAATGAACCTGATGCTTGATCAGATAAGTGGTATTCACTGAGTGGAAATGGGGACTGATGATCTCTCAAGCTTAAAAAAAAAAAAAAAAGGTCCAGATTTGATGTCTTAAAAAAAGAAACTTCAAGAGTTGAGTTCTTGGCTAAATTCCAAATATAATTTTTTAATGAACCCTCCTGTCAATAGCCTTTGACATACCTTCAAAACACAGATGAGGAAAGGAAATCCCCCTCTCTGTTTCATTATCTGCTACCAAGTAAAAAGCATCTGAACTGTAAAAACCATCAGCTCTGGAGAGGAAAAAGTGAAGATATTCGCTGTTTTACAAAATGGAGCTTTTAGAAACACCAAAGTAAAAGTGCTCCATCTTGCTCTATTACTATTTTTCATGTATTTATTACTGTTTTCAAGGCTGCACTTTAAAGTATGAAATTGTCTAGAGCTGTTCCAAACGAAATTTCTTTTTGATTACACTTTTTGTATACAAAATGACAAAATACATTTGTCTAAGTCTAGTAATTAAGTAAACATACTGAATGAGTTCAACAACTTGCTGTAGTACTCATACTCTCAATCAAAGCACCTTGTATTAACATTTTAGTCATATTTGCTGAGCTCTAGTCATTCCTCTTTATCCAACCATCAGCGCTGACACTCTCATTGTGAATTCTGTTTGACTCGCTGCTTTTGATGCCCGAGATGAACCATAAACATCAATGAGAAAAGTCGACCCTGCGGAGCCATGTGACCTGAGTGAGAGAGATGCAATGGTGGGGGTTGGATATGTGTGTGAAAATAACGGAGTTCCCCTTCAGATCGTGCCTTTCATCTCTGATGATGATGCGTGAGGAGTGGAAGAGGTTTCAATGACCCACCAGGAGTTATACTCCCACATTTACTTCTAACAGGATAGTGTTTTCTGCCGGCGACTCGCGTGTTTTGTGTTTGAAGTCGACCAGCAGATACGAGACCAATTAGCTGGTTAGTTTTTTGGGAGTCGGCAGGAAGGAGATTTTTCATGTGAGGTCTGAATGCAAAAAGAAAAAAAAAATGTACTAACATACTGAGAAATTTGGAACGTGTTTGGGAATATTTCTGCACCTGATTAAACAAAGTGTCAAAACATTTACTGTTGTAGTTTTCTCTTGCTACTCACATTTACTGTAAGTAAAGAGGGGTTTAGTATGTGTGTGTATGTTTGCATATGAATGCTGTTACTCACACATACTTCAGCAGAACTGTCTGGACTTCCATCCCTGAGGAGTTCCATCTGCAGGTGGGAGCCAACGGATCTAAACACACACAACCTCACATTAAAGCCATGCTTAGGGGACAAGCATCCATTATAATTGTATTATTAACACATTTATATAATATTTTTATTACCATATGTGTGCAAATGACCATTAAGAACATTAGACAGACACCCAGACAGCTAGATAGATGGCACAAAAAGAACCTGTCTGACAGCATGAAGTAGGTTAAAGGTTCTTCAAAAGCAGCTTTTTTTTTTTAATCAAGAAACAAAGTAACTGACATTTATCATTTTAACTGTTTATAAAATAGCATTTAGAGCCATTATTTATAAACGTAGAAAACATGAAACAGAGTTTAGAAGCTGCTGGATTACCAAAATTACTCCAAGAGGGGTTTAAAGACAAAAAGAGTTTGAACCACTGCAGACTTCAGTGCATAGTTAAGGTCAATGTTCATGGTTTAGCGAACATAAACAGACTGGGAGAAAATGGCATCCAAGGAAGAGTTTAAAATACTGTTGACCAAAAAGCCAAACGTTCTGCCTCACATAACTTGATGACTCCCAAGATTCTTGTGGAAATTTTTTTTAAAGTGCATTTACACCAAACAGGGAATGCGGCAAGTGTAAGGGTGGTTAGAGGAGCACATTGATGGTCAGACATGCAAAGGATGTGTTTTGAGCAAAGCAAATTGGTCGCTTGGAGTGAAGTGGAATAGCGACATGGATTTGTGAGTACAGCGAAGTGAAATTACGTAGCAGTTTAGAGCTTCGACCATCTCTGTCAATTTGCATGATTTAAACAGGGATTAGATGTGGTTAGTTGTGTTGTAGGATGATGGAGCGCAGTGGGAACTAAGCTTTGTTTAGTCAAAAACTCCATAAAGGTTGATCCGTCCGCCTGGATGCTTGAGAGACGGAAGTTCTCTGGGCTCTAAGAGCAGGTGAGGCAACTGGCAAAAAAAACTGGTAAAATCGAGGTCTGCCAGTGTCATTTAAATAAACTAAAGGAGCATTACCAAGCAGATAGGCCCATTTCTATTAGATGATGCATGAAGGCAGCTTTGCAGAATGTTGCCATGGTGTCTGAGTTTGTTTGTGAGTAAGAGTCGAACTGTAAACTGACCGACACCAGGAGAGCTAACCTGTGTTCGCTGTGAATATACCTTTAGGAGCAACAGCAAAAATTTAAGCTTTCTTATAGATGGTTTTAACAGTAATTTGAGGTATTCCAGCAAGTCAACCTCTCTGCTTTGCAGAAAAGTAACATAATATTAAGGTTTTTACATGGCCTAGTCAAAGTCATAACTGAATCCAAACGACATGGTGTGGTATGACCTTAAACTGGGTTTTCATGCTCAAAAAGTTTCTGAACCAAAATGCTAAGACGTTCTACAAAGAACACGACCAGAATACCTCAACAGAGAAGTAAATTAGCTATTATGTTTTTCCTTAGGGTTTAGATAATTTGTTTTCCTCAATAAATCAAACCCTCCTTTATTTACTGAGATTGTCTTTCTTTAAAATTCAAATCTGTGTGATAATCTCAAACATGTTAGTGTGACAGAAATAAATAAATAAAAGAAAACTGCTATGGGAAAAATATTTAATAAAGCATTTTAAATTGAAATAATAAATAAAATGTGTTTTCTTTGTAAGGGCTTACTGTTCTGTTTAAGTAGTTAGTTTCTTTGGATCCAGTTAACTTGCTGACTTCATTCAGCCTAAAAACCCCTCTTAGCAGCCACTAACGCAGATGACATCAGCTTATTAGCTGTGGAGCCAGTAAGGTGAGCTCACGTTAACATGATTTATATCTGATTCTTCAGCCCTGCGTGTATGCAAGTGTTGGCCTGCCCTTCCTAGCTTATTATGTCAGCCCCTACTCCTGGTCAGAGGAAGCTCTAAAATCGGCCATTGCTGACCACATCCCTTTACTGAAATCAGAGAGATAGATTCCCTCTGTCAGTACATGTGCACATCAATGGCACGCATATGGAAAAAAGCAAGCAAGGCAGATTCATGCATGCCCTCATTTTCAATTCTGACTTCATCTGTAGTCTTAGCTACTGTCACTGTCAAGGAGGGGCAGAGCGTTAAGCTGAAAAGACGTAAGTGTTTGTATTATGAATGGAAATGTATTCTATATGCCCCCTTTAGCAGGTTTGAATCACACTGGATGATCCAATTAAAAGCAATACCTCAGATACTGAGATCAAATCCAGCCGACAAACCAGCCTGACACTGAGGTTGTGTTAATGGGTGAGTCTAAATCTAACAGGATTCATGAGAAGAATTTCATGAGATCAATAACAAAACTCTAATGTAAGCTCACAGTTTGATCTGTGTGGATATAAAGACCTTGATGAGCTGGACCAAGTGGGCTTAATTATAGAGGGAGATTATGATAAAACAATGATGCAAACTGAAAACGGAAATGATTATTTTTGGTCTTTTTAATGGAACGCCATTGATTTTGTGCAATAATTTTTGCAGATTTTGAGGCAACTGTCTAAAAGATTTAATAATTTTAAACATAATTTTAGTCATGCATTTGTGAAAACACTTCAAAATATTTGTTTGCATTAAGCTTTTATTGCAAGCTCAATGCAAATACTTAACTTTCTGATGTTTTACTTTTGCAAAACAATCCTGAAAATATTTATCATAAGGAATACACATTATTTTTTTATATATATCTTTAAAGAATGATTAAATTGTAATTAGTTTACTGGTTAATACATCCCTATTTTAAAGAATCTTGATTTCTGAGGGACGGTTCATCTAATATGCTATTGTTGTTTAACCAAGCTCACAGTCACCATAATCCAACAAAACAATTATAACTTAATAAATATTGGCACATTTTAAACATTAAAACAAACAATAATTTCCATTTTTCATTCATTTACATGTTCATTAATATATTATATAATGATCAAACTGAACACACTTTAACATGAAGGTGTGCAGATATCACAATTTTTTTTTTTTGTAAAACAAACTAGGTGTTGGATTTCTGTTTGAACGCACCTAATATTTTCTGAACTGCTTTTACCCGCAAATGCATGAGTGAAATGGGACAGATTGCATATTAAGAGGATGAGCACAGCAGCATTTCCTGTGTTGGACGTGGCGGTAGGTGAAAAGGAGCGGTGGTGGTGGTGATGATGTGGATGGGAAACGAGAGATGGAATTTGCAGATTACCTGAGCGTGGAGCGAGGAGGGGTAGGTGAAAGCGGGTGGAAGGGCCGGCGACAGCTCTGCCGGGTACAGCGGATATGACGCCCACACATCTGGGCTGCTGGGATAGAGAGCGGGCACTGTAAGCTCATCTGTGGAAAGAAGAAGAGGAGGAGTGGAGTGAGGAGAGTGGTAACGTGGATGGGAGGGTGGATAGAGAGACAGGGTGGAGGTGGCAGTGATGAAGGTGATTGTGGAGGTGTGCACTGGAGGGGAAGTTTCATTTTGTGAAGTTGATTCCTCTTATTTCATTGCCTTAAACCCTCTAAAAGCCCAAACATTGTACATTTGTCCAAGCACTGTTTAGTTAAAGCTTAACAACTTCAAACATTCACTGCGAGCCTGTAAAGCTTTGGATTCCTCCATGTGTTGGAGTACCTCGCACGGCCATTTTTAAGCATTGGCCTTTTGACTCAACAGGAGACTAAACAGGAGTGTTCTCCATCAATTAGAGCTCAGTGTTGCTTTAAGAAATACACTATTTCAACATCTTTGAAAAAATATCCTCTGCAAAACAAACAACAAACAACATCTCCATTTTTTCCTAACTTAGTGCTACTTTATTGTTTAAAATCAGAAATTAAATCTGGGATCCATGTTCCAGCTCCAGCCTGGAAAACCAGTGAGGTTTGCTCATTGTTTATCTCAGTAACCAGGCATACCAATAAACATGCTCAGACTATACAGCAACAGATTTACTAATGAATACTGTATGGTATTTTGCATATAACATTGTTTTATTACATTCAAGCTTCAAGATATACAAATAAACAATGCAGCAGCCATGTTGGATTTGTAGCCCACTTTTTGGCTGATGGGAAATCCTTCAAAATTGAAACTAAGCAAATATGTACATGACCGTACCTAAATTAGCATTGTTCCACATTCTAACTCCGGTGACAGAAATAGATCTAATTTTGATTACAGTTTTGACTTTCTGTAAAGTGAATTTAGATTTATCTCTAAAATTATATATTATATTTACTTGTTAAAGTAGAAAATAACTTCTGGATACAATCTGGTAGTTATTTATTTTCTTGCTTTGAACATTTTTTCCATTATTCTATAATATACAAAGTCTGTAAATTTCATTGTATTTGAATGTATAAATAGTGGATTCTTAAGGTCAGAAATGTCTGAAGAGGTCGTGTCTAAAAGAATTAGTTGTATCTTTCATTTCAATAATTATATCGACTATAAACTGGATAAACTCAAACATTCTTTTGAAATGCGTCCTTTCAAAACGAATCTCATAAATTAGTTTACTAGAGTTCTGCTTATTTCCACATGTTTTTATTCGGATCTCTTCTAAAGTATCTGAACTTGGTGATATTTTTCCACCCTAGGGCACAAAAACCTTTGCCAATTGACTCTTAAAAGTTGCAGTAGCTCCTCTGCAATACAAAGGTATAGGAGAGCTCAGGGCGCAGCTCCTGGAAAATTGTTTCAAAATAGTTTAAATAAAACATGACAATGGCTATTTTGTGTTCCAGAAATAAATAATTATATATACATTTTTTATAAATTACTTTATATATTACTATATACATATAGTAATATAAATTACTTTGATTTTTTTTTTTTTTTTATGAAACAAGATGAAAAAAAAGATTTCAAATTTTGGGAGTAGAAAGTAGTGATAATTGCAAAAAAAATTGTAAAGCAAAAAGTAAAGATCTAAAAAAATAATTACTTAATAAAGTATAGATATAATTTCTACTTAATTAAGATAACAAATTATTTGTAATTTGTCACTTGACAACTCTGGCTTTAAAGGAACACAAATAAGTACTTTGAGTATGATAATTATATGATATTTATGGTGACTTGGATCAATATCTGCTTGCACATGCGCAAATGAGCTGATGGTACAGATTGTGAGCCCAGTATAGATTGGGTTGTGACAACAGATACAGCAAATGCGATTAAGCCATCAAAAATGATGGATGTCACTGAATGATTTTTATATACATCTGGGTTGGCCCCTTTATAGACTGTATTTTTAAATGTGAGAACAAAAAGCTTTACAGGCAGGTTAACAGTAGATAAGAGAAGTTGCAAATGAGAGGAAACCACCTCGGCCATAGTTTAATCGTAAATCTGAGTGCAAGGTGACTGTGAAAAAAGGTGCACAAGTGAGGTAAGGTGAACAGGGAGTGCACACTTAATAACGTAAAATCAGACAACATTGGGTAACTCATTGGAGAACCGTCAGACAAACATAATCTTAAGGAGCATTTATCTGTACTTCCCTATCAAAACAATGATCAGGAAAATAAAAAAAAATCACTGATTAAAACAACTCTTATCAGGAAGTGAATGAAATTTCTCTCCTGGTGATTACGTCAAGGTTTCATTAATGGTTTCCGTCCATTTTCCTCTGAGGCACCCAGTAACACCCCCTTCTCTGGCAAAGAAAAGATCCAAGATAAGAGCGGTTTGGTCATTCAGGAAGAATGCACTATTACAGCTGGTCTATGTTTAACTATCAATGAATGATACCAGCAAAACCCTTTAACCCCATGGAAAAAATATTTAACTAGCAAGGAGCTGCATGAACACATTCCAAACACACCTGGTACTTTCAGGTTCAACACAATGAAGCTACACGGTTAATAAATACTCAATCAGTGAGAGTATCAATCTCTGACCAAATGAGCTCAAAATAAATCAGCATGTCAGCATTTCAATAAACATTTGACTTTTTTTGTTTCGGTTTTGTGAAATGTTTGGTAAAAAATGAGCAAAACAAACATGTTTGCTTTGTCTAAATGGGTCTAAAATCTTCGATATGAGAAAAACATACACACAGCAGTCTCTATTTTGTTTGTCCACCGAAGAACACGATTATGTCTGATAAATAAAGGCCTAAAGGGAAACAGCTGTCCGGTCCACTACAGCCAAACAAAGTAGCATCACAAAGTAAGAAATACTCAAGGATGGGTGAGTGATGGGAGCACTTACATGGGTCTCTGCTAATGAACTGTGGCCCGGGGCTCTGTTGGGAAGGAGGGGGGTTGGGAGTGCCGACCAGCTTGTTTTTGGCCATCTTGGTGTTAGCTTTGGCGAACTCCAGCCGCAAAGTTTGGGGAATCTCTGGATCAAAACGGACCCCCTGAGATAAAACAGAAAGAGATTGTAAGGCACGATAAAAACAAAAGGACAGAGGAAGTGTACAAACTGTTCTAGTATTTGGATAAAGCTTTAAAAAGTCATATGTTTCATTTGGCCATTGGGAACAATAATGAGAGACAGTTTGGTATATCCATTGTACAAAGTATTGTGCAAAGAATTTCTAGTTTCTTATCCGAAATTACAAATACGTTTCTTTTGGCCAAACAATTAAAAAAAGTGGCCATCAGTGTTTTACTACCTGGCGAAGTACAGTGCCTTCAGAAACACTGATAAAATACCTGGTTTACAGCACGTAAATAAAATGAAACATGCTAAATCTTTTAAAGTCGTCTTCCGAGTATAATGGCAAACTTACCATCTACAATTCAATTGAAAAACTAATTTCTTCTACAAGGCGAAAAAACTTGCTGTTGTTGCGTGCATCAAGCTTGGTTTATGCTTGACACATCTGCGAGGTTTGAGAGGCCTGACTTTCTGCTCTGCACAGCTAGAAAAACTTTCTATAATGAAAGCTCTGTGCAGAAAAACATGGTGGAAGAGCAACAGTTCACGTATATAAACATCTAGAGACGTTGAATGATTTAGCCCAATAATATCACTATGAACAACAGATTGTGAAAAACTCTTACTGTCACTCTTGGATGACATAAAGAGGCTTTAAAAACTTTGGATACAACTGTTTTCTACTTATATATGTTGTTTGGTGTTGTAAACTTGTGGTCTTTGTCAAGCATACAAGGGGATAAGCTGCATTGAGTAAAAAACCTGGAGACATTGTGTCATTGTGTCTTGTTCTTAGCCTAAAGTGTGCACACCCTATATGGTAATAACTTATTAAATAGCCTTTAGAGTCTGTCAGTATCCCACATCTTTAATTGACAATATTTGTCCAACCTAACTTGCAAAAGCTCTCTATATCTATGAGGCTGTGAGGGAACGTCTTCTTTTACCTGTAGGTTCACCTAGAAAGGGTTGAAACAAACATTAGAAAACTCTATAGTATGGACTCATCACAATTGATTTAATATATTCTACACAGATTATAACTTCTTTAATAAAGAGTTTGGGATGTGGTAAACCTTAGTTTTATTTATGAAAACTAGAATTATCATTTGATATTAGATCTGACTGAAGAAAACTGCATTATTTACAAAAAAAATCTTGAAACATCTCTGGTGTTTAACTGGCTTTTTATTTCATTTTGTATAAGTACTTGAAAATCAAAATTAAACTTTTAACATTGATCTTTAAAATGTATAATTTCATTCATTTTTGACACTTTTTTTGCTTTGCTTTGTTTAGCGTTATTAATGTTTTCAGGTTTCAAAAATGAGCATCACAATATAAGATTATAACTTCCCTCTTGGTAAACAATATAAGAGTTTAAACAATTATGTCCTTTAGAGTTTTATTAATACTGTTATTACACTTCTTGGTCTATTTTCTAAAAGGTTTTATGCTTATAAATGAGGATGGAAATTTTGGAAGCATTAACTTGGCAATGACGGCCACTCATAATATTTCTCTTGGGATGTTTTAGAGGCAGTGAAATTTTAAATAAACTCCTTCAAATAACAGTAAATAAGGATTTCAAGGCAGAGGAAACAAAAAATCAGCAAGTTCCGGTTGATATTTTGAATGATTATGTGCTCTCAAAGTTCAGTTAAGTCGGCTCACATGTCGGAACTTTCCTCATGTTTCGGTTGTTGTGTAACAACGTCAATTATTTCTACAGTTAAAACAACAAGAGAGGCAGACATGCTGTTTTCAGACTGCTAAGATGTCATTTTGTTTCCCTTGAAGGTTGCTCAAGGCAACTTTGTTGAGAGATTAGGGTTCGCCACAAAATGACTCTTAATGATGTTAAATCCAGGATTACATTGCTTTCACAACCACCCTTCAAAACAGGGTGGCTGAACTATTTGGCTTGGCACTCATGCTGTTATGTGATAAATGAGGAGGGGATAAAAAAAAATAAAATCTGCTGTCCTGCATTTGGTAAAGCAGTAAAGCAGATTGATAGAGAATGCTGCAGAAAAATAATCCTTTTGCATTGTTTTAAGGTTTACTATGTAAGGTTTCTGGAACTGTGAAAGTTTGCTAAATTTTTGCATTTCACAGAAATTCACAGGAATATATAGAGCTTCAAATGTCTAGCTTAGTTAAGTTAGGGTGATTTTTATTTTCATGAGCCATCCATATGGTTGTACTGCTATAGGGTTACAGTGACGGAGAACTTACTGACTACCTTTTTGATGCCTTTATGGAGGAGATTCTACAGATGGAGTCACTATCAATGTGTTTTTTGACTAAAAATAATTGCTAGCGCTATTAGGTTTTCCTTCTCATTAGAAAAAGCCCTCACACGATACTTACTGTGTTAAAATGTGTCTCTTTTCTGGACATAGCCACTGAAGGAGCTATTACTGGCCTTGGTTTTTTTTTTTCCTTTGTCTATTTTCTCTTACATCAGTGCTTGTGGGTTTAGAGGTGTGGCCTCAGTGGGTGAAGTCATTGCTGAAGTGATAACCTTTGTCTACTCTTTGTTTTGCTTTTTTTAATAGTAGGTTCCCTTGTTTGGTACATGTATTTAGCCGCATCTCATTCCAGGATTGAGTCATTTTGATGACTATCTATCTATCTGTCTGTCTGTCTGTCTGTCTGTCTGTCTGTCTGTCTGTCTGTCTGTCTGTCTGTCTGTCTGTCTGTCTGTCTGTCTGTCTGTCTGTCTGTATACCTACCTACCAACCTAGATATATATGTATAAATATCTAGATAGATACTGATTTGAATTGTATTGAAATTTATGCAGTTTAATATTTGATGTATGATGAAAGCTGCTCACTGTGGATTACTGAGCAATTTAGAATCAAAGGTCGATGACACTCTGGCTAACACATGTTGTCATTTAAAAGTCAAGGCACACAAGCCACAGAACCTGAATACGCTTCCTCTTGACTGACTCCGGAACTGTAATATAATACCAAGACATCTGATCCCTCATTTGTAATGACATGGTTTGGTGCTGATGCTTGAAAGGAGCCAAAAGTTTAAGCAAATGCCTGACATGCCACTGTTAAAGTCCTAACAGACTACTGCTCATGACAAGTCAAATATAAAGGCTGTTTTAGTCCACATGACCAGTTGGTTGAATCGTTTCCCCCCTTCGTTATTTTTGCAAGAGGAAACACTAAGAATGTGGAAGAAATAATTCTTCTTTCCAAAATCAAAGTGGATATGAGTTAAATTGGCTTGGAAATAACCCAATAGGATTAAATTTCAAAGGCAGCCAAAAACACATTAAAATTAACCGTATTTAGTTGTCTGGATAAGACAAAGGTCCGATCTGCTAAGGATGGAAGCAGTTGAGGTGTGAAGTTCTCTGCGGCAAAAGAGCAAGGAGTTGCCGGGGAATGGGCTTCTCATCTCGTCCCAGCAGGCTGGGGCAAAGCTGAGCTCCAACAAGCGAGTGAAGACTCTTCTCATGAAACAGGGAGGAATTAACTGGGATTGCCTCGGCTCAGGGTGGCTCGCAGCTTCTACCGGTAGTAGCTGCAGAGGTGTAATAAGCTGCGGAGTTATAATGAGGGGGCCCTGCTCTTCGATGTTCGAACCGAGCTGGATATCCACTTTGGAGGGCTTCTAAGTTTCTTCTGCACCCCCACCAATGGTAAATGTTAATGTTTTTTGTAATTTAGAAGAAACATATCAGAGCTCCTGATTGGAAAGAACTTGCTTGTTCCCTCTGGAGGTTTCTCAATTTTCCACATATCTAAATATGCAGAAAGATGTCTACAAAAAAACGTATCTCCATACGACCTCTTGGGATCATAACTCTTCCTCCAACAAAATAAAAGAATTCCCACTTAGAGATTCTACAGAAATAATGTGAGTGTTGCTGGTTCAGTTCATAATAAGATGATAATTTTTCTCCTTTCTTCTTCTTTCTGCTCTGCCTTTGATACGCACCAGCATTTCTAACATCAGAAAGACAACACACTCCACTGTCACGGTCCCACTTCAGTTATAGAGATAAAAGTGATCTTTTTCCGTCACGGAGAAATCAACAAAGATTCTAAATATATGAATAACAATAAGAAAGTAAAGGTTGTGAAAGTCGAAGTTCATGCCTGCCAATGTTTTTCTAAAGACAGCGTCTAAAACTGCGAATATGGTCTCTGTTGTTTTTTTTTTAACCTGCCTGAGGCTTCTACTAAGCCACAGTCTGAAATAAGGGAGATTAAAATTAAGGCCTAGATCAATATCCTCTATTTATACACAAAAGAAACCTAATTTTCTCTAAAACTTGCAACATTCACAGACAAGCTCAAAGACGTTAATTTCCTTCAAATGGTGCATGATAGGGCTCCATATTGTTAAGGACTGCTAGGAATGCTAAGGAAGCTTATAATGTACTGTATATAGCCTGTGTCTTACTAAGTATAGACACAGTGATCAGAATCTATGGCCAAGTACCAGCCTCTAATTTATGCAGATTTTTTTTACTTTTATAAAAGGATAGAATGTCTTTTTAATAAATAACAAGATACTAGCGTTCAAAATGTGTTAATTTAGTCATTTAGAGGATTGTACAAAGACCTAAAAGATTATTGAAAAGAAGTTTGTCTTTAACATCTGAGGGAATAAAATAGTTAGAAATACTGTACTAAGATTGTCATGATCTTGGCAATGATGGCTGGCTTAATTGCTCATTCCATACACCTGTCTAACCCAGCCAGGTTGCTCATCACTGCTCATCTGATCCACCTGCTCCTGCTTCCATATAAACTGCTCAGTCTAAGCCATCAAGGCCAGATTATTGCTCTAGTTCTCCTTCTCTCGTGCCAGTGTTGAGAGGAGTTTTTAGCATTCTCGAGAGTTTCTGATTTCCTGATCCTGACCAGTTCTGCCTATCAACCACTGAGCCTGTCTGTTTGCGTCTGAACGGGCTGCCTGAACTGAGTCTTTGGACTCCTGGACCTCTGAGCCTTCCTGTTCTGATCCGTTTCCCCGACCTGACTTTGGACTCCTGCATGTTCTCCAGGGCTACAGCATCTGGGACACTATAGCCTGCCACATTCTGTTAGCAGCCCACCGGCTGGATCCTACCTTGTTCTCTGGCAATGGACTGAACTTTTAAACCACGTTAGTGACTCTTGTGAAAAAATCTTCATCTGTACGATTATCATGGTCACTAACCTGCGTTTTTCTGCAACAGAGCTTCGGTGATAGACGCCCTACGCACTGATACGGTGGATCCACAGCCCGCTATAGTGTTAATAAACCTTTGAATTATCCCACTGTCTGTCTCGTTTTCAATACTGGGTCCTTCTGTCCTGTTTCATGACAAAGATAGCTAAAATCATTGGTGGATTTTGTAAATAAGACTAAAAGTGACCTGTAGGCATGGTTTTATTAGCAAAATCTTCAACTGTATTTTCCAAAACCTTTGTTCAGATTACATACATTCAGTTCAGCTTGCTCTCCCTGAACAAATGACAGCTTTAGCATTGTTCGCATCTAATAGTTAGCCAATCACGGTATCTTTTTTTCTCCTTCCAAAGTGTTTTTTTTCTCTTCTCTCAACCACATTTTGTTTCTTTTCTTACAAAGGCGGCCATATAAAAAATGGAAATGTTTTAAGAGAATACCAGTTTTAGCATAATTATAACAGAGAAACATTTTCGAGGTGCTTACAAATAATTTGTTTCTTGTCTGACAACTTTTGTTATTGTTCTACAAAGTACCTGAAGTACGGTGGCTGAGAAATGCAAAACACATTTACAATTCAAAAACACATTAACAAAAAAAAAACTAAATAACATTTGAAGAAACAAAATTATATTTTATGAAACAAATGTATTTTTGAAAAAAAGTTTAAATTTTAAAAAAACAAATAACATTTTAGCAAACAAATTTACATCTAAAAAAAAATTGACCGTTCGGAAACACTTGTACAAGTGCAAAGACAAAACTGCAGGTGGCAAAACACAGTTACATAGCCAAAAACAAATTAACAAAAGATGGCTAAACGGAAAGGGAATGTCCCAGTGGCCGGATGTGACGTCACGATTACCCTGACTTGTAGTACAAACAGCTCAATCTGTAGTCCTCCTGCTTCACGTGAAAAGTCAGCGGCGATTTTATTATTGTGGAGCAAATTTCAGCCAATTTACACCATTTTGTTCTTCGTGCGGACGGTCTCTGGAACTTTTACGTGACACGGACCAGGTGGCAGGACCACCGGAACTGCTGTAACGCAGCCACTGCCACGAATTGAGCTCGGCCCTGCAGCTTGGTCCTGCCACCTGGTCCGTGTCCCGTAAAAGTTCCAGAGACCACAATAAGGGCAAAACATTGTTCGGTTAGCGTAAACTTAAGAAAAACAGCTTCAGTGCAATTCTTTCCATCTAAAATCGCTGCTGTCTTTTCACGTGAAGCAGGAGGACTACAGATTGAGCTGTTTGTACTACAAGTCAGGGTAATCGTGACGTCACATCCGGCCACTGGGACATTCCCTTTCCGTGTAGCCGTCTTTTGTTAATTTGTTTTTGGCTATGTAACTGTGTTTTGCCACTTGCAGTTTTGTCTTTGCACTTGTACAAGTGTTTCCGAACGGTCAATTTTTTTTTAGCTGTAAATTTGTTTCCCTATAATGTATTTTTTTTTTTTCTAAAATGAAACTTTCTCTCACCTAAAATCTAACTTATTTAAAATGTGAATTTGTTTCCTAAAATGTAAATTTGTTTGCTAAAATGTAAATTTGTTTTTAAAAATTTAAACCTTTTTTTCAAAAATACATTTGTTTCATAAAATATAATTTTGTTTCTTCAAATGTTATTTTGTTTTTTATTTGTTAATGTGTTTTTAAAAATTTAAACTTTTTTTTCAAAAATACATTTGTTTCATAAAATATAATTTTGTTTCTTCAAATGTTATTTTTTTTTTTTTTTTTGCTAATGTGTTTTTGAATTGTAAATGTGTTTTGCACTTCTCAGCCACCGTACTGAAGTGTTAAAAAATAATCAATCTCATAGATGTTGAGTCCTGGTCTGCTTTTTTTTTTACCTGCCTATTAGCAGCCAGTAAACAGAATCTTTAATTAGGTGACTATCAACATGAAGCAAGTCAAGGTCTACTTCCACTCATTTTAAAATAAAAAGACTCCAACAAAGCAATCACCTTCATATTTTGGCATTAACTTACTTCACCAGGCGAACTCACCTACTGACAGCAGCTGGCTTTTTAGCAAACATCACTTAGATTACAAACTGTTGTGAGATCCTGTTGCATCCAAAGTGCACCGTATTTTGAATTATCTTTACTATATTTGCATTCATTTTTGAGTTTTTTTTCTTGCACTTAATGGGCTATGGAATAATATGTGTATTTCCTTTCCCTTAAATCCATTTGAGATGCAAAAAAATAAGAAACATGCTTTGCACTGAGCTGCTGCTCAAGCGATGAGGGCATGACACTTACGTTCAAGGCATTCTTAGCAGCCTCCGCCTCTGATCGGCTGTCAAAGCTGACAAACCCCACCGGCTGGAGAGAAAAAGAAAGAATAAAAAGAAAGAAACATGGTTTAGGGCAAAAAAACTGAGTCTGCATTTCTGTCTGAATGACAAAACATGTTGTTCTTTTTTATTATATATATAATTTTTTTTTTCATTTCCTATCAGAGTCAACTTTTTTTTCTCTTTTTCACCCTGTTTATAAAACCTTGGCAACATGAGGAGAGATAGAGAAGAAACGGGAGAGGTAAACAGGCAGTTCAGCTCTGCAAAAAGGGGGAGTTCAGGTTCAGGCTCTCCTTTGCCCAAATACGGGCAATGTGAGGAACGAGAAAAAGCTTTAAGAAGCATTGAAGGGAGGGAGAAGAAGAGAGATGAATGTAGAGAACAAGACAAATGAGAGCAGAGTGTAAAGGTGAGAGGTGAAAATTGAAGAAAGTGAGGCCAGAGCTTTTAAAAGCTCCTCCAGTGGGCCTGTTTCGTGACATCTTTTTTAGAATCTGTTAACTTCAAAGACCTGTTGCTGTGACAGGGAGGAGAAGAAAAAAGGGGGAAAAAAGGAGAATAAGACGATGCAGGTGTGAATGTCACATAAAATTCACTATTTTGCTGTTCATGTAGATAGGGAGCCTGAAAACATGTTGCTCCCTTGGGTTCGCACTACTGTCTGTGATCTGGAAAAGCAGTGGAGGGTTATGGGAATTTGGAATAAGTGAAGCGAGAAGCAGGAAGAAGAGGAGGGGGAGGAAAGGAGAAAAAGTCGAAACGCGAACATTAAAGAAAAAGGACTTAGTAAAGACGTCAGGAGGAGGAAGCATAGCGGGAATATAAATAGAAAGGGTCTGAGGTCTTGCTGCTGCTGCTATATATGGAGATGGCAGAGAGTTCTCTGACTGGTGGAGAGAGAGAGGGGCCAATCGATTGATTTATGTCGCCATCGTCATTGCCATTAGTGGAGGGGGGGGGGGCAAAACAAAGCAGGGACACTTCTAGACAGTCTTTTGTTACTCCTGACTGAACGTGAGCATTAGCTGGCATTTGTCATGTTGAGGATGGCATTTATGGGAGGCAGAAAGTAACAGATGCCCCTTTTCAGTAAGCTCAAGGGCTAGTTCGGAGACAAGAGCATCAGATTTGGTCAATTCTTTGTAACAAATCCAAAAAAAAAAAAAAGAAAAAAAAGAAATACAATTACCTAATGACTTACATCTTGGAATCTAAAGTAGCACAAGGTTGTTTTCTGGCTTATAATCTCATGATTCTCGCCAGCCTAAAGGGAAGCTCAAAACTAATTCCTTTGTTTGGTTCAAACACAGAGTATGGTGCAGTTGACTCATTCATTAATGCAACTAATGGTTTTTTTTATTTTCTATTTTCTTTTCAAAGGGGCCAAATTATGGACTTTGACTGCTGTCAGCCATTTATTTTCCCATACCTGTTCACTTTCAGATTTTTCTCATGTTCTGTAGGCAAGTCGACTCACAGGGAGTTAATACTTTTTTTTTTTCAGCTTAACTTTCATGCACATCCACATCTTTGCAGATTCCCAGTTCAACTTGGGATTGCTGTTCACAATACAGGAAGAGCAGCACAATAAACTCTGGAAGCATATTTGCTTATCATTTAATCATTTTAATATTTATTTTGTAAAGCTACTTTACCTATTTGCTGACTTCTATTTGTTTTTACTTCATTATTCATTTTAAGCACACATTAAAGATTTTCATTCAGATTTCATGTTGTTATATCCAAATAAGGGGGGGGGAATTGTGGGTGGCGCTGGTTAGGATTGACAGAGTGTATCTGCTTTGCAGAAACTGAAGTACTCCATTCATGATGACCAAATTAGAGTATTCCCATTCGCTGAGCTCCATTTGGCTCTATCATGAACTGATCTGTACCGGAAGCACGATCCATACCATCTGCTCATTTGCGCATGTCCAAGCAGATATTAATCCAGGTCGCCATAAATAATGAAATTATGGTACTAAAAGTACTTATTTCTCTTCTTATATCACCAAGGGATGCTTCGCTACACATAAAAAAAACTAAATGTAATTACTTTTCGGAGCCAGTTGGATACTTTTTACATTCTCTTCATTAAACTGCATTTCTGACATCTTCATCGGACATGCTCATCATGATTACACCATTTTTATGTGCATTTCAGTTGTTTCTTATATAAGTTTAAAATGAAAGGAAAAAATAAAACTCGCAGAAGTAGCGTAGGATCCAATTCCTGGGAGAGATTGGACACAGAGGAGTGATAATACTCTCTCAGTAAGTCTGAGATTCTTCTTTTTTAAACATTGTAAATCAGTTGAATAAATCTAGACAGAAGGATTTTGCAAAATGCTGCCAAAAAAATCGGCATCAATTGTGTTCTTCTTCTCCTGTTTGATATTTTCCAAGCTAGTTCCTGTTTCAGCTGCTGAACTCTTACCAGCGTCGCCCGATAGATAAACTCTGCCCCCCTCATTTTAATATAAGAACATGAAATAAAAGGAGCTCAAAAGGAAAACATCAGTTAAAAAATAAAAGTCACTCAATAGGTAGTGTCACAAATGAATTCTCCATTATGAAATAAATGAATTACATAACTAAGAAATCTTTGAATAAATAAAAATCTTGAAATAAAATTAAACACATTTTTTATTAACATATTTATTTTGTCTTATTTCATGGGGATATTTTTTTATTCATTGGAAACTGTATTGATAATTTATCAATAGCAATATTTATTTATTTAATTTTGAATGGAACAGTTCTCCATAATTATCTACTTCCCTTACAGTTTTTTTTTTCTTTAGGCAGACACAGTGCAGTGGGATGTTCTGTTCAGGTGCTCCGCAAATCAACAAATTAGCAGCAAATTTCCAAATAACAAAAAAAAAATAATAATAAATTTAAATATACATATACAATCACCGGCCACTTTATTAGGTACCCCATGCTAGTAACGGGTTGGACCCCCTTTTGCCTTCAGAACTGCCTCAATTCTTTGTGGCATAGATTCAACAAGGTGCTGGAAACATTCCTCAGGGAGTTTGGTCCATATTGACATGATGACATCACACAGTTGCCGCAGATTTGTCGGCTGCACATCCATGATGTGAATCTCCCGTTCCACCACATCCCAAAGATGCTCTATTGGATTGAGATCTTGTGACTGTGGAGGCTATTTGAGTAAAGTGAACTCCTTGTCATGTTCAAGAAACCAGTCTGAGATGATTCCAGTTTTATGACATGGCGCATTATCCTGCTGAAAGTAGCCATCAGAAGTTGGGTACATTGTGGTCATAAAGGGATGGACATGGTCAGCAACAATACTCAGGTAGGCTGTGGCGTTGCAACGATGCTCAATTGTTACCAAGGGGCCCAAAGAGTGCCAAGAAAATATTCCCCACACCATGACACCACCACCACCAGCCTGAACCGTTGATACAAGGCAGGATGGATCCATGCTTTCATGTTGTAGACGCCAAATTCTGACCCTACCATCCGAATGTCGCAGCAGAAATCGAGACTCATCAGACCAGGCAACGTTTTTCCAATCTTCTATTGTCCAATTTCGATGAGCTTGTGCAAATTGTAGCCTCAGTTTCCTGTTCTTAGCTGAAAGGAGTGGCACCCGGTGTGGTCTTCTGCTGCTGTAGCCCATCTGCCTCAAAGTTCGACGTACTGTGCGTTCAGAGATGCTCTTCTGCCCACCTTGGTTGTAACGGGTGGTTATTTGAGTCACTGTTGCCCTTCTATCAGCTCGAACCAGTCTGGCCATTCTCCTCTGACCTCTGGCATCAACAAGGCATTTCCGCCCACAGAACTGCCGCTCACTGGATGTTTTTTCTTTTTCGGACCATTCTCTGTAAACCCTAGAGATGGTTGTGCGTGAAAATCCCAGTAGATCAGCAGTTTCTGAAATACTCAGACCAGCCCTTCTGGCACCAACAATCATGCCACGTTCAAAGTCACTCAAATCACCTCTCTTCCCCATACTGATGCTCGGTTTGAACTGCAGGAGATTGTCTTGACCATGTCTACATGCCTAAATGCACTGAGTTGCTGCCATTTGATTGGCTGCTTAGAAATTAAGTGTTAACGAGCAGTTGGAGAGGTGTACCTAATAAAGTGGCCGGTGAGTGTACACATATGAGCATAAGGCTCTCCTGGGAGCCATCATCCGCCAACTACTTTCGGTCTTCGTTATTTTTTTTTACAAAGCAATAAAGTCAAGCTGCAGATCACTCGTGATGCCACTCGTGATGCGGAGACACATTGGAGGGAAGGAGAGAGAGAGAGAGAGTAAAAGAGAAATCATGCAATAAACGTCCCTTTCTAGGACCTGGTTTAGGAAGAAAGCTTGGCTAACTGCATGTAGCGAGGCTAACACTTTATCCTGCTTTCCCTGCCTCCTTTTTCAAACCTCAGGATCTGACCCAGCATGGAAAAAGAAAAGTAAAGTAGGTCTGATTTAAAGCACATTTTAGAAAAGGCAAAGAAGAATAAACAATCTGGGATTCACATGGAAAATAATAGAATATAGCCTACTTTTTCTAGGTGTTTCTTTGTATATTTGTTCTTAAATAAACACATTTTCAGAAAATAAATATTTTTTATATATTAAAAAAATATAAAGCTTACTAATAGTTTCTCCATTATTAAACTGGTACATTACTTTTTTTAGGTTTGTGACACCACATTGGACCATGCAAAGCACAGATTTATCTTCACAAAGCATCAGAAGGGCAAGATTTATGTTAAAAAATAAACCTGTACATGAAATTATGTTTTGTTTTAATAAAGTGTTTTTATATTGCTTTATTTTGTTGGCATTCATATAAATATACTGGTGTGATAATTTAGTATACGTTTGATTGGTTTTTGGTATATGTCTATTTTGAATTTATAGCCTCCCGTTTTCTCCCTGGTGGAGAAAACTCCACAAGCCGCCACTGATACTTAACATCTAATGAGAAAGTAGTGATAAACTCCTATAACTTCAATATTGCTATTTTAGGAGCCAATTATTTTTTGTTAATAATTAACTAAGTTTTTATTTTTCGAGGATAATCTAGTTAAGTTTATTAATTTTACTTAATTGTTTGATATATGTTTTGAGATTCTGTTTTTTTGTTATTTAGTTATGTTTTCCTGGTTAATTATGAGCAATTTGGGTGAATTAAGTCAATGGTAGAACCAGCATGCACCTCGATGGGTGTATGGTTTTTTACGAGCACAAGAGAACCATAGAGAAAATAGCTGTCATTTTCTGTTTGCTTGCTTAAGGAGAAATTAGCCACAAAACTAAAAGACTTTACAGGGAAAAAGTTATTTTACCAGCATAAATAACTTGGTCCATGGTGCATCTGTGGCCTGTGTGGATTTTTGGGTGTCGTAAAAGCTGGGGGAAGAACTAGGTAATTTTTAAGAACAGCTTTAAACCATCATAAAGGTTGATAAATCTATCATTGCATTCGTTCTTGCCCTTAAACAGTGAGATGTTAAACCATAAGTGTGTCTGAATTTGATATACAGACATCTGCCAGACAATGTTCAGTCCTGCTCCCCTGAAGGCAAAACTTCATGTAAAATGCTCTTTTTTTTTCTTTTTAACACCTATAAACCCCCATCCTAACCCCACTACGGATCTTCACGTCCCACCAGGGCTGACATTGAGTACAAGCACTATATCAGACTGCCAAAGGCAAGTTAGTTCAACATATGCCCCTCTCCCTCCTAACAGGAAACTTCTTTTTCCTGTTAAAAGGTAATTCCAAACAAAACATGTGGCGCCGATCCCTGTCAGTCAACAAGCCGATACCACCAAGAAGGGAGGGAAAAAGGAGGTCCAAAGAATTTAAGGTTCTGACAGATAGGGGGTTTTGTTAAGCAGCAGCAGGAATGTAGGCATATATATATATATATATATATATTTTTTTTTTTTTTTGGGGGGGGGGGATCAAACGAAGAAAAATAAACCTACCTGTTTAGAAGTGAGTTTTATCAAGGATCCTTCATATCCCTAAAAAAGAAAAAGAAGACTATAATGCAGGTAAAATCAACTCAATATTATTCATTCCTTTATATTTATGCACCTTTTAAAAATTGTGTTACAGCAAAAAAAGTGCATATGACTTTTATATTTCAAAAATAAACATGGTTTTCAATATAAATGTGCAAACTTTTATACAGTTATTTGTCAGTCGGAAAATGTGAAGGTAGATAAATTGCACAGGAAAATTGGAGTCGTTTTTGCAACAAAGGATCTTTAAAGTATTTACTCCTGGGGGGGAGCTGAAAATGCGTATTATGTTTCAGCTTTTCATTTGTGAAACAAATTAAAAATAAAACCCTTCTGTGGTCACACTACAGAAAATGAAATCTACATAAGTCAGTTTTTCTTAAAATAAGTGTACCGGTATGTTCCCTTGTCATGAGTAGGGAGCCTACATGAGACAAATTAAAAATAAGAAAAAACAAACTTGGTGATCTTATTCCACTGCATAATTTCCAATTGTTTTATTTATAAGGGCAAAAATATGTATTCTGTTGGAAGATCATCCTTTTTACCTGCTCAGATTAAGGGCAAACACTATTATTTAAGGTAATATTTACTTCTTTCGGATCAGTTTATGCAATGCACATAAAAGCCAACTAAAATAGATTGAAGGTTGTGGTTTATAATGTGATAAAAATGGGAAATATTGAAGCTGAACCACTGGCATTGGCTAAAGAGTTTAACATTTGCTTTACATGGTAAGGTGGATTAATGGAGCCCTTATTGAGGACGATATGGATTAGATTTTTGCATCTTATCTAATTATTCAAGACCTTCAGCTCTCAACACTCATAATGTAAACCTTTTTACTTGGGGTACATGCCATAGGCATTGTCTAAGAGAGGTATTACATGCATTGCAATGATTCAATCTCTTAAACAGCACTGCTCTTGAACCATTAAGGCGCATTATTCTTGGGCGACAAGCCAAAAAGCTGACAACATCCACATCCGTTCAACTGGATTAGGAATCTCTGCCAGTGCAAGACAGCGGAGCTTCTCAGGCGAAACAAACAGCTTTGTTTTTTGGATTGCAGGCATTGAGCCACTTTTTCCATGATGAACACGCGATCAAGATGTGATTGAAGCCTGGCTTTAGGAACACAGACACTTGAACCTCGAGGGAGAGTTTCCATTGCCGTTTATTTCATCACCATTAATGGAGGTCTCATTGACTGCTGGAAAAAAAAAAAAGAGGCAGCTAAGAATAGCTGCTGCAGTCCATCTCTTTAAAACATACAAACATACCTTAAATGGTCTGAAGAGGAGATACAGCTCCCGCGGTTTGATATCCAGCGGTAGCCCACTGACGAATAGCGTTCGGACCTGAGGAGGACAAAAGAGAGGGATTATGTTGTTTCGCAGTAACTTCTGGGGTTATAAATAGTCACAATGACTCTGACATTGACACAATAGTCTGTAAGATACAGGAAAATGAAGTTAAACACTCATATGTAGAGCTTTCTAATACAGATAGGGGTACGTCTCTGTTCTGCAAACAGATCTTTCTGAACCATTGTGCTCCCCTGTGTAATCTGCAAAGGGCCAATCCCCCCCTTCTCAGTTCTATCCTCTGTTTTCCATTTGAACTTTTCAACTTGCAGCTAGGGCTGGCATTGCTGGAGAATTATAATGTACTGTATATGTTGGGTGAGATGGATGAGAGGAAAAACCACTCACAGTGATGACTACAAACACACTTTTTTTGTCTTAGGACACACCAAATGACACCAAATGCCTAATAAATGTGCTGATAAGGAGATAAGAAATAAATGTTAATTCAAATATAAAAAAAAGAGTTAAATAAATTGCTTTCAGGCTCTGCAGCATCAAAAAGTATTTTCAGAGAGAAAGGTTGCAATCTAAAATGATGAGACAAATTGAAAGAGGGAAAATTAAGTGAATAGAAACAGCTTGATTGGTTGATAAAAAGAGATGCCTGTGGTCAATTCTTTTGCATCAGTTTAGTCTGCTTTAAACACAAAGAAAGAGGGTACACCATGACTATGGCGAATTAGCCTGAATTTACAACATTTATTTTATAATGATATACAAAAATTTAAAGGTTTGGGGCTAATTATTTTTTAAATTTCTAAATTGTTTCATTTATGTAGTGCAAGATTTAAATTTAAATGTACTGCTTCCATCAAGCACTCCAAGCAACAAAACTTTTTTTTTTTACTTTTTATCCTTTCAGCTAATTACAAGCAAAACATCTAACTTTAATATAAAATGAAGTACGTATGATGAGCTTTTCTAAAAAAGAAAAAAAAGACAATAAATAAATTAGGGCTGTAACTAACAATTATTTTTCAAATCGATTAATCTGTCAATTCTTTTTTTTTTTTATAAATAATGAGACAGCCGAAGGAAGCAATTAAACCAGGTGAAAGTAAAACCTTTTCTCTTGAGGAGTTCTGGATACAGCATATGACAGACGAAAAAGTTAATAATCTTAAATGCAAATTTTTTAAAACAGGTTACTCTGTCAGCTAAAGGCATGTTTTACAGTCTCTGTACTCCAGTTAACGATGAATCGATTACAAACTTAGTTGGCGATTATTTCAATAATTGTTTAATCACAATTAATCTGATTAATTATTTCACTCCTAAAATAATTAAATGTAGGGTCCGAAAACTTACCACTGTAAGCAGCTGATTTGCATCAGTTATTTAGAGCTGTAGTAAGTGTGAAGCATTAAAAGTATTTGTGGGGATATTGGTATCAGATATTGATATTGGAAAATGCTCAATATCAGCCCAAAAAACAAAAACATTGCTCTACATCTAAAATCTCTCATATGGACAAACTGATAGTTAACGTTTATCTAACCCACTAGTTAATGATAAATTAGTTCAGTTTCTCTCATACCTATTGTTGTTCATTGTTGTTCTCTGAGTAATATCGCGTTATCTAGCCTTTTCTAACATTCCCCACTACAAAATAAGTCCTAAACGTAAATATGAATCATGAATCAATATGGTTATCGATCAATACTCAATGCTAAATCAGTAAATGAAAAGGTTGGATTGAGACATCCTAACCTATTTGTTGTGTTTTATACACTAAGCTAAAATTATAAAGAGTCATGGAAGTTATACAGAGCTTATATAAGCTTGTTTGAGCTTATTTTCAAGCTTATTTTTCAAATCATAAACCTCTTTCATTCGTTATTTAATAATTCAGATTTTGAAGTTCTCAGAAGGCCCTGCATAGGTCACGACTCCAGCTTCCTCCCACAGTTCAAAGCTGGACTGTTAGTTAATCATGTACTCTAAATTCCTCTTAATCTATTTTTTTATTTTTTGCATGGTTGTCTGCTCTTTGTCATTGTGTTTCAAGCTGATAAAAATGTTTTGTTAAATTTTTGGTCTGACCTGCTGACTCTGGTTTATCTTTCTACAGTAAATGCAAACTGATTCATGTAAACGCATTTTTTATTTAACAAACACAAATTTTGAAAGATAGTCTACAATTTTATCTATTTTTTTAAAGTAGCAGTTGAGAGGAAAAGAAAATCAATGAGTTACAAGATTATCCTTATTTATTTAACATGGGTCCTTAAACTTTATCCAGTGGATTGAATCATCATTAGTAACAAATAGTCAAATTTAACACATAAAGCAAGGACTAGCCTGTTTCCACAGGGCTATGATGCAGCCTGCCTCAGAGGGAAGCCCTGTTTGTTTAAATGATTAGAAAATACCCATTGGCAGAACAAAACAAGTTTTGTTCTCCTTTTTGGATAGAACCATAAATCATGAGTATTAAACTTTACTTAGTGGCTTTAAATTTATACCGAACTACAAGATTAAGAGGTAAAAAGTATTTAAATAAATAAAAATAACATTAAGGTACTAAGGTCAACAGTGTTAAACAGTTTTCTGTTGGTTTTCCTTTGAATGAGCAGGAATCCACAAAACAATCTTCAAAATAAATACCTTCTGAAAAGGATCATTAAAAATAAAAATAATGCACAAACAGTTGTTTAGAAAGGTCTTATTTTGCTCTGTATATTTAGCAAAAGAATCTGTCTTTAACACCCCCCCCCCCCCCCCCCCCCCCCATGTCTAAAGCGACTGGTGTTAACAACAGCGGCAGCAGCTCTGTCCACACATGCGGCCCTATTAGCGCAGAGCCAGAGTTTGGTAAACACAGACATAGCAGCACTATGGAGCACAGGTGCCATGAAGTCCTGCCATGCTACTGAGAGCAGATCTGGTAACACATCCGTAGGCAGCGAAACCGGAAATTTCTGTAGGTCCATATTACTTTGAATCTCTCTGTGATGAGTGAAGGGTCAGCTCAGGACAGCCATGAGTCACACCCTGAAGGAGGAACAGCTTTTAAATATACAAGAAAACTTCACAACAACGTATCCTCTCTCCGTTTATACTGCTGATATAAAAAAATAAAAATAATGCTTATGCATCTAATTTAATGTGTTAAATCACCAGCTTTTTTTATTAATATCAAAAGACTTTCGGAAAAACCGTAGCTTTGCACACAAAGCAAATTATAAGCTCAGATTCATTAGATTCACCACTCAGGGGACAAAAGGAGCTGCTGATCTAACACTACACCTCATTCCCAAATGTAACCTGATCCACACCCCTAAAGTCAAAGGCTGATCAACAAAAACAAACGCAGCTTAGCAACCTAGCCTAGGAGGGTGGGTTGTTGGAAGCATGGTCAGCGTCACCAAGCTCATCCTAAAACAAATTAAAATAAAACAACGTTCCCCTGTGGCGGCTTTCTCACCTCTGCTCCTGTGTAATGAGCCAAACTCTAGTGTCCTTCCTTCACTTTAGTCTCAAGAACATCTCTTTAAATCCACTGAAATCATGATTTTTTTTTTTCATAGAGGAAGGAAAGAATCTAATTAAAAAGAAGCAAATATTTCAAAACAAGACAAGTAAAAAAAAAAACAAAAAATTCCAATTTGAAGTTTCAGGCGAGAGGGATCCAGCTACAAGTCACCCTGGCCCATCCATCCAACCATTCATTGCTTATCGATTATCTCATAACAGGTCATGCATTTAATAGATACACAAAACCAGACATTAGCAGAAAAAGATTATAAAAAAACGTGATAAAAAGAAGAAATAAACAAAGAATTAACAAATGTTCACATTTGGTTTCAAACCAAACAGCGTCCATAGAAAAGAGTAGCTTATCCAGCTACTTGAAGAAAAAAAAGACACATTTAGAAACTGATTATTTCCATCTGAACATTTTCATCTGAACATTTTAGGTAAAAAAAAAAAAAAGAGGTGACTCTGACAATATCTGCAGTTCGGCCCTGGGGTATTTTACCATTAAAAACCTTTTTATACTGCATGAAACGTAGTAACTAGAGAGCAAAAGTAGTGTGATACTTACTTTGACCATAGATGGTGGAGGAAACTTTACCTTTTCTTTGACATCTTAATAATAAAAGGGTTTTTTATATGGACAGTATGATAAAAAAAATATTGGTATACGTTCATACCGTTCAACACTGTGCTATCTTAAACTTACCGGAATGTAAATAAAGGTAAATATGTTTGCATTATTGCCATGTTTTAGCGTCAATAATTGACGGTAAAGAAAACCTGAGAACAGATTTGTCTAAGAAAAAGAACCCCGTGTAGTCTTCACAGTTTTATTTAGACTAGCGGAGATTTAATCTGGTATAACTGTCTAAAAAGACAAAGTACCTTTAACAGGAAGTTGCCACACAACATAAGAAAACCTTAGACATCTAGCACTTTATCTTCTTGTAGTATATCTTCTGAAATTGAACCTCAAAAACACTTGAAAACTAGAGAAGTTAAAAACACACTGTGAGTACGCCTCGGTCTCAGAATAATAAGACATTCCTGGCTGCTTCAGACCTCATTCCTGAGACTTCCTGACGTCAGCTGTTGTGATATAAGATCTCTTCCTGCATATCCTGCACACAGTGGCTACAGGATGATCCACAAGCATGAGCCTCTCACAGCATATGTCCTCTGTTGATTACTGTGTCGGCGTAATATGCCACTATCAGAGCTGTAAAGGGGCTGCCATCATTGTGAGGTCGTATGATGCATTAAACCAAAGTGAAGGTCACAACACTGGGAAAACAGTAATAAAAAACACAAAGTCAAACCTTCTGCTACTGTTTTACATGGTTTCTTTTATTGGTTTCCTCATGAGTCACATGCCTACATTACCATAGAGCTAAAAGAGCACAGGTTCAAGCCTTTCAATCGTTGACCATTTATGGTGTGTTCTCACACACACAGGGGCAGGTTTCGATTAAAACCAGCAGCCACCACCTACAGTAAGCCAGCTGAGTGCT